ATGATACGTTATTTTTACAAAAACATGAAAGAAAAAAAAAGAAGGTACCGATTTAGGGCATTGAATAAATATTAAGTGTAACCAAGTCCCCAATCCTAATCTCTGGTTGTAAAATGAACTCCCCTTATTACCAGATTCCAATCGACACACAAAAGATTAGCGGCGACTCTAAAGAAAAACCAATTTGCATAGTAAAAATGAGTACATCAATGTTGTTATCAGTAGGCTTGGAAAAGCCCATGCCAAGCGTAAATGCCACCTCGCAAGATGAATCATTTGCGCCCACTCGGTTAATTGATAAATCCCTCGAAAATTAGGCCCCTCTGGAATGTCGTGACATGCATTATTTCATGTTTTTTTTTTCATGTTATCAGTGGAGTTTGTCATTTATCCATATAGGATTTAGATTGTGCAATATTGATGACATGTTAAACAAAATTTATTAAATAACCTACATTCATGTGAGTCCAATTCACATAATCTCTCGAGTCAGATTGCTGTGGAAGAGAGAAAGTTGGTAAGAGAAGAACAAGAAAAAATTCATACAAAAAAAAAAGGAAGCGAGGAAGTAAGACACTAAAAGCGAATTATTTTTGTACACGCTACATCAATCTGTAGACTTGACAAAAACATATGACAAATGCATGCTACAACACCCGGTTGTAGCATTAATGCTGCAACTCGGCAGCAGCGTAATCCTTTCCTAAAAAGCAGAGACACGAAGTCCGCCCTCTTTATACACGATGCAACTCGGTATACACGCATCTAGATTTCAACCGGCATGAACTCGAGCATTGAGTTGAGCATGGTAAAACATAACACACAAGTTTCCTTCTCGCTGTTGACAGCAACTTATTGATTTGATGCTAATTTCCAAAAGTTAGGCATCATCATAATAGGCATTAGATAGGCACATGAAGTCATAGAGCTTATAAACTTGGAGGTGATCAAGTCAAAGAGTGAGATCCGGGCAAAGCAGACCTTGACTCCAAAACCACTTGTGAAGAGACCCAGTTGACCATTTCTATGGGCCAAGGAGAGAACAAAAAAAAAAAAATTAGATGAAATATGAAAGTCTAAGTTTCATCACGCGGTTTCTAAATCGTCAAACGAAGCTAAATTCAACAACCACACTATCAAGTTGGAATTCTTTTTTTTTTCTTTTTCTCTTTGGCTTCTTTTGTGTGTTATATTCCTTCATATCCATAAAGCATACGATTGTGTCGTCATCTCTCTCTTTTTTCTCAATTTTTTTATGAGAAGAATGTCGCGGCTTCTACTAAATTCAATGAATCGTGAAACTTTCTTTTGAAGAGTCATGGAAAGAAATTTGTCTTGTTCATCAAAGTGGGAAAGATGGAAGTTTTCAACATCCTTAGATGTCCATAATATCCCCTCTGTAACACACATACCTCATTTAAGACCAAAGGATGTAGTAAATCACTGCCCCCTTCTCCAAAAATAGAAAAAGAAAAAAAAATTAAGAAATACTTTGGGTTGCTACTTGGAAAGTGTTTGGTCGCCGGTCAATGAGGTTCACAGAGTGGACCCTGTCTCAAATGAAGTCCCAAACTGACCAATTCGGTTTCAAATAAGACCCCGACCTAATTAGATGTTGAGCACATATTTTGATTTATGGCAATATTTTTGAGTAAGCAGGCTCATTTCATGTTCTTATTTGAAATTTTCCTTTTCAGCTATAGTATTCTTATCATTTATGGCAAGGAAAACTCAACCACATGAAAGTCCTCCTCTATTCATTCTCGAAATGCATACATTATAGTTCAACAAATATTTTCTAGAGCACCCACCAATGAAATTCATCTGGAAATAAAAAGTCTATTGTCACATTGGCAATTTAAGGTGTAATCAAATTCGTCTTCGAGTCTAATAAATTGTTTGAAGTTGGACTTAAACATTTTCTCCAAATGTCTTGTTTGGTGGAAATTACCTCAACGAGAAAAAGACAAAGGTGAAGGAATCTATGCTAAGTTCACACCTATCTTTGTTTTTTTCTCTTTTTCTAATTTTAATATCCAAAGGAACGTGGAGGCCACGGGCCCTTCGTTTATTTTAATGCAACTCGAGCAACGCACATATCTAGAAGTAATCTCTTGAGCTTATTTTTCTAATATTTTTGTGCTGATTTGAACAAGTCAAAATGAAAATACTTACAAGCCAAGTCCAAGCCCAAGCCAACGTTGATTTTAATGAAACACCAATGTTGGTTCTCGAGTTCTTGGCATTCGGGATCAGGTCTCCAGCGCCCAAGCCAAGTCCATTGAGGTTGAGCCCGTAACCCTGGTGCCTGTGCCTTGGTCCCTGGCGTCCACGCTCGGGTCCATCAAGGTCGGGGTTGGGACTTGGTGCTAGGGCCCAGGTCCCTCCAATTGGATTCATCAAGGTTGAGTAGGGAACCTCGGTGCCCATGCTCAATGCCTTGACACGCGGGCCCTAGTCCACAAAGGCCAAGCATGGGATCACGCTACCTATGGTCAGGTCCCCGACACCCGGGCTCGATTCCACAAAGTTCGTGCCTGACACTCGAGCTCTAGTTCCTAGCACTTAGGTCTTGGTCCATAAAGGCCGTGCCTAGGTCCTCGGCGCTCAGGGTCGAGTCCCTGGTGTCTGAACCGGGGTCTATTGTGGCCAAGGCCTGACATCCCAATTTCCGTGCTCAGGTTCATCGAGGCCACAGTCGGAATCCAAGTGCCCATGCTCGGGTCCATTAATGGCGGGCCTGGTACCCTAGGGACGAGGTACCCGGTTCCCTGGATACACCCAAGCAGAAGTGTGGCAACCTCCCCACGGGCGGCCCCTCGACTGGTTGTGGGGGCGATTAAGAGGCTAATGGATTAGATTTTAGATGTCAACAACAAGTTACCAGCACTTGAATAATGTATATCTATTTAAAAAAATTAAATCAGATTTTCTATATCAAACGTTGGAAAATATTTTTCGGTTCATTTCCATGTTTTATTAAACACGGAAAATATTTCATGGAAAATATTTCCGCAAAATAAACGGAGCCTTACAATATATTCCTTTCAACTAATTTCCGCCAAAAATCGCGACAGTGTGCTATGTAGAACGGCCGGTGATGATTGGACAGCCACGCTGGATACTATAATGGACTTTTATACGAACGTTTATGACTAAATAGAAAAATTGAAAATTTTATGCGAAATCGATATCCATACAATAAATTTAGGATTGATTGAGTAATCGTCCCTTGCTCTAAGAACCCACCAGTGAAATTCATCTCTAAGTAGAAGGCCTAATGTAAATCAATTGTCTTAGAGCCTAATCGATGGTCTAAAGTAGGACTTAGACACTCTCTCCAGTTGTCGTGTTTCGTGGAGATCACCTCAACGAAAGGACAAAAGTGAGAGAATCTATGCCAAGATCACACCTGTCTTTGATTATCTTTCTAGCTTTAATATTCAAAATGAACGTGGAGGCCAGGGGCCCATCGTTTATTTTAACGCAACTCGAGCAATAAAACATATCTGAAAGTAATCCCGTGAGCTGTTTTTGGGATTTTGCTTCGTTGGCCTCCACATGCAAAACCAAAAACGAATCCCAAAAACAGAACAAAAAGATAAAAAAACAAAAGGAAAGCAAGAAAAAGATACTTCAAAAGTACAGCGTTTTACGCTGATTTGAACGGGTCAAATTGAATATACTACAACCATTATAGTACTTGATTGCATATGAAATTTTGTTCGCAATGATTTAAGATCATTTATCGCTTAATCCCACTTAGCCCTATCAAAATAGATCATAAACTCATTTCTTAATTCATATATTAATAAATTGATTATAAATAGATTAATTGTATTTAGTAAATGGGTCATAAATATGTATAAGTCTAATATGAATATTAAATGGGTCATAAATGAATCGTAAATGGATCAAAAATAAGTTTACAACTAATTTAAACTCAACTCATCTCTCTCACCTTCACTCAATCTCGTGCTCACTCATTCCGCACTCTCATCTCAGTTTGGATATAAATTTTCATAGATTTAGTTAAATATGGAAGTGTTTTAGCAATACGAGTCGGGTCGGATATGAGTCGGGTATGGATCAAGAAAATTACGTTACGCATAAATGGGTCATAAACGGGTTAATTGGTCAATTTGGATCGGATCATTTATGACCCAACCCAAACCAAACCCGATCCACCCATTGATAGATCTAATCTCTTTGTAGCCACTTATACAATACGAGCTATCGAATCACACTCCATCAAGTTATGAACTTATTGAAATCTAACACTGTAAAGATAATATAGCTTGTTGAGTTTGAATTTCAAAATCCGTCGATTCTCTGGTGATTTCTTCGTCTTTGCGTTAGATTTGCATTGCAAGATCTGTGAACTTCTTTGTCATTTCTCAATATGGAAAATGCCGACCACTGCTACTTTATTGTTAAAGATTGTATCTTTATAAAATTTAATTATGAAAAATTGCGCTAAAATAAAATCTCCCTAAATATTTTTATAAAAAGGCGTAATCAAGCTCTAAATGTTTTTAAGAGAAAAGGTGTATCAAGCTCTAAATCATGCCTTTGTTTTTAAAGAAAAATCGATATGAGAATAAATAATGTACAAAACAATTCCAACTTCTTACTTAATTAAGTAAGCCAGCTACTTCGACCAATAAAAAAAAAAAAAAGGTAAGCCAACCACGAGTGTTGAGCTTGCATATAGAGCGCCCATAGATATCGATATGGAAAATTCTACTCGCTCGTGTAATTATAAATTGTTTCTACGCCAGCGACTTCCGATCACAGCAAGCCGTTATTAGCCTAGTAGAAATTTTTATTTTTTCCACGTGCGATTACTCGAACGATGCGCGCAAACGAAATATCAAAGTCAAATTTGTGTAGCCTTGAGTGCCAACGTAAGACTTTAAACACATTATTATTATTTAGGCGGTCCATTCTATATTGCCAGACCACGATCTGCTTCCTCACCAAGACAAGAACCAAGTAAAATGCCAAACCGCCACCATCTCTGCACTCCCTCTCCTTCCATCTCGCTCTTCCTCTTCATCTTCTTCTTCTCCGTGAGCTTCCATGGCGTCCGCTCCGCTTTCTCGACCATTTGCGACCCTGCCGCATCATTGTTCCTATGCGGCAACGTCACTGTCCGATATCCATTCTGGAATGACAGCGACACCCCCGTGCACTGCGGCTACCCAGGCCTCGGCCTCGAATGCCCGTATGGCTATCATTACCCGATCCTCAATCTTCCGGGCGACGCCTACTTCGTCACCGACATCAACTACAACGACGAAACCCTGACTCTCGTCGACATCGACGTCACCGACGTAGCCGGCCAGGGATGCCCCAGGGCCCGCCACAACCTCACGATCGGCTCGCTCCCGCTCGGTTACAACTCCGCCGACGTCAATCTCACCTTTTTCTTCAACTGTAACACTTCTCTGGGGATGCCCATCGACACTGTGGCCATCGATTGCTTGCTATCCGGTGATAAGCGGTCGTACGTGTTCGTGAACATGAGCCGGGAGGAAGAGGCGGCGTTCGATGAGGTGTGGGACTGCGAGGAGATGGTGGTGGCGGCGGTGAAGGGGACGGAGGTGACGGCGGCAAACGTGGTGGAGCGGTTCGCCGGGGCGATGAGCCAGGGGTTCGTGCTCGACTGGGAGGCGGCGAAGGAGTGCGGCACGTGCGAGCACTCCGGCGGGCGATGCGCGTTCAACCAGACCAAGCAGGTGCAGTGCTTCTGCAACGACGAGTCGATTCACGCGGACGGTTCGGCATGCAAAGGTAAGAACGAGGTTTGTGTCTGTCAGTTTTCTTTGCCATTGTTCGTAAGTGGTTTCTGCATTTTGTTCGCCAATCGCCATGCTTACTTTTTCAATGCTTGTCACTTCTTAGTTGCGTGTGATTTGATTTCTGCCATATGTTTTGATGTTGCCGCAGCCGTTAGAATATAGAAAAGTATGTGCTCGGTTGGTCAATTTCTTAATCAATGCTTTTCCAAAATTTGAAATGTAGCCACTTGTGCATGTTTAATAAAAAAATTTAAAGTGGAGAACTATCACTATCACGTATAAATATAAAACGATAGACAAACGAGGTGGGATATATTAATACCCCTCTTGTACGCAAATCGAATTAAGAACCACAAATCGGATTTGACTAATTGAGGGCGACCCACGCGAAAATAAATTGGGATACAAAAGCTTGTCAAAATTTAATTCAAAGATCTAACACAATAAGTGTATGAAGACCGCGTATATAAAGATAATACAAAATCCCCTAGACAAGCGATGTTAGTACTTTAATACTCTAAGCTAAAGTTAATTTCTCTCGAGATTGATAAAGTATAAGTACTTGCACGTAGTGAATGGAAGAGATAAATATTTTTTGTTTGGGGAAATTTCGAAGGTGGGTTTTATCAATTGGTTGCAACTTAAAATATAGTCTTACGGAAATGTGGTGGTTTCTTTTTCAGAAAGATGTCTTTTCTCCTTTCTTGCTATAATTGTCTTTCGGAACTGAACAACTCCTTATGGCGGGGAGTTCCAGTTGAGTCTTAGGTCCCAGTACTCCGAGGACATAAAAATAATAGGGGGTAGAGGCAGCTCTCATGTCTCGATAAAGATAGTGGCTAGGTTAACACCCGTAAGATTTTAGTAAAATCCTCCTAAGCAAGAGGTTAAACCGCTTCAACATATCTTAGATGTAAAACACACAGAGGGTATTTCCTCCTCTTGAAAAAGACGAAGATATATGAGAAATTGAGAGGAGCAAGACGTGGGAGCACCGGCACAATAAAATAAGAAACACAGTCTCCGCTTGCCGCGTTATTGCCTTTGATCATATTCCTCCTAGGAATTGGTACCTAAAAAAAGTATTATTTTCAATAATACTTGAGGCCTGAGCGATTTATGAGCCTTAGCAATTTTCTGTAATTGAAAATGGTGGCAAGTTATTGCTTCCAATGTGGGTCACCATCTTCATCAACGTGAATCACGAGAGATGGGCCCGATTCGGCTTGACCCAGGAGCCATGGCCCTTTGCCATCCACTGATCTTTAACCAAGTTGCTTTTTCTGGGGGCTGATTTATCATCGGGCAAAAGTTTACGGAAACTCGTCCAGATGACAGTTTAGCCGCCTCAGTTCTGCTGAGGCTCCGATCCCCTTCTGTGTTTCTAGTCTATCTAAAACGCTGCAAGCCCATCTTTGAAGGAGATGGGCAAAGCTGCTTTGATTAGTCGGGGCTGCCGTGTGCAGGAATTGTAAGATGCGGAATACTAGTCCAAGTCCTCCCAAGTCAAGTCTACAATTATACAACAGCTCAAGCTGCTTGGCTAGTTTCCACTTGATTCCTCCTCCTCCTTCTCCTTCTCCTTCTCCTTAGCTTTTGTCTCGGGCGCCAAAGTCTTGGTCTTTGGATGACTTAAGACAAAGAGGTTCACACATCGGGGGTCAAGTCATTCCCCAAAAGCAGCATTGTTCTTATCCCTCTTGCATCCTCTTCCTTTTTACATGCACCCTCCTCCCCTGTTTTTGCTCCAAACACCATCTCCATTCGGATGGATCTTACCATGTCGTGTTCCTCCCTCTCCTTGCTCTTCTTCATCTCCCTCCATATTCACTTCCTGGTGCCAGGTTCTGGCAAATTCCTGCCGTTCCGAGAGTGCGCTCCTTTCGTTTGCGGAGATAAAAATATCAGCTATCCTTTTAGGCATAATGAGCGACCGACTCACTGTGGATATCCAGGCTATGAGCTCGGATGTGACGGACATAACCCAACCCTGGTTATGGAGTCCCTGACATATCGGGTAATCCACATGAATACGAACATGCAGATCCTTGAAGTGGCAAGGAAGGATTTATCGGACGATTTATGTCATGGAGCACATGTCAACACCACTTTGAACTCCAGTCTCTTCAACTACACTTCCAGTGACCTCAATTCCATCTTATTCTACGATTGCGATTCATCGCCGATCTTTGGATCTTATCCGTTCTCGTGTCCTACGTCTGGAGATAGCTACTTTGCTCCAGTTGTGGACCTTGAACACCTACCACAAGAGCTATGCAACTTCAGTGTCCTTGTCCCAATTTCACAAAGTGATGAAGCTCCAGATCGACCACCACCATCGGAGGACAGCGATTTTGGTGCTCCTATTAATCATGCTGCTCGAATTAGTGAGATCCTGAACAAAGGCTTTGAGATCACCTGGATTGCCAACACAGCGCAGTGTGAAAATTGCACTGAATCGGGGGGAATATGCGGGTACGACTGGAAAAGGCAACGATTCAATTGTTTCTGCACTGATGGAGCCTATTCACCGACCTGCAACGGAACACGAGTTCCAGGAAGCTTCCCTTCAAGTATGTATACTTACTCTCACCTATTTTGTGGTTTTCAATTAGCTAAAGCCGTTCAATGAGATGGATTGCTGGGCATAACCTTCCCTTTGCTTGTTAATTGGAAAACAACCTGCTCATGCCCCTAGAGCCTGACAATCTCTTTTTGCTGGGCATACCCTTCCCTCTAATACAATGAAGTGCAGTCATCTCATCATCGCTACGACATGATCATGTTACAATTTCGACTCCGAGTTTTAAAACTTAATCACCCCATTCTCAACAACCTTCCTTGCCTTAATCGTTTGATCATTAGGTCGGTATCTGCGACCCCCAAGATCCAACTGTTTAAATACATCGATTGAATATGCTCCGAGTTTACTGTAAAATTTCACGTCATGGACAAGTGATCTAGATCGGAATACGTTAGCCGATAAGTCAATTAACCTAAAATTTAGGTTTGACTTGTTCTTTACTTGTCATTACATGGACTCTTGACCCCTCAAATGGCCTAGACTTTTTCGCAGTGAGAACATTAAAAAAGTTTCACTTTTCAATTTCAACTGCTTAGGAAGAAATCCGTAGGAAATTTCTTCCCATGTTTCCTGGCCACATCTTCCTCATCACTTCCAACCCCAGACCCAGTTTCAACGTTCGATAGCCATCTTTTAGATTTCCATCCTTCACGAAATTTCAGAAGACTGAAACTTGTCTCGGTCAAAGTCAACGGTCAGAATAGTTTTTTTTTTATATTATACTGAGGAGGAATTAACCACATCCATCTCTTTCACACTTCAGTCTTCGGAGAAAGCGAATAAGAACAGAATTTTTCCATTCTCAGCATGCCCCTCTGAACTCTAAACCCTCATTTCACATAATATTCTCCACCCATTATAGCATGAACTTGCTCAAATGGGTGACGCAGCCCCTCTCCTTCTCTCCTCCCCTTCACACTCCATCCTCGTCTTCGTCCTCGTCGTCCCATGAGTTCTTTTGTGCGAGGGAGATGGCGTCGTCCACCACACCGAATGCTGCCGCTCTTTTAGTTGCGGAACCGTCCAAAATTTAAATTATCCTTTATGGGGAGACGGTTGACCCCAATTCTGTGGACTTCAGGGATTCTAGCTCGAGTTCTATGAGAACGAATACCCTGTCGTTGAGTACGAAGCGCAAAAGTACCGAGTCCTCAAGATTGATCAACATCTTCGTACGATGACGATCTCGAGGATGGATCTGATGGACGGTATGTACTTGCGCGAGTTTAGGAATACTAGCATGATGAAGTCCAGTCTCTTCCATATGAACCCAGCCGTTAAGAGCCTTGGCATCTTCTACGGATGTTTGGACACGTCGAAGAACGTAAGCAACGAGTTCGAGTGCTTCTACGACGACTCAAGGAAGTCGGCTTTCTTCATAGATGACATTTTCTGCTGCCTTCTTCCGGTCCAAATGAATCTCCAAAACTTCATGTGTGGAGCTAATTGTCGCCAATTGGTCCTTGTCTTCGTCTTCACCAACATAGTCTATCGGGCTCTGTCCGATGATGTGCAATACAAAGCCAAAATGAATAATTGAGGCTTATAAATCATGTTCAAATGAATCTCCAAAAGATGTCCGCACTTTTTGAAAGTTTGAATACACAATTACACTTTCATGACAAGTTTTAGGACTTAATTGCAACTTTTGAAAATCTTAAGACTCAATTGCACTTTTGTGATAAATTTTAGGGCTACCAATGCACTTATCCCTATCAAATATTCACTGGTCAAAGTTAGAGAAACTCGTCCAGATGAAGGTTAGCCTCAGTTTTTTAGGTTCCCATCCCACTTCTGTTTCTAGTCTTAGACGATGGGCCTGCGCCTATCTAGAACGCTGCTAACTATTTCTTGAGGTCGTTATGAAGTGTCCTCAAGTGAATCGTGAACGAGATCGGCAAAGCTCGTTTGATTAGTGGGGGCTGCGTGTGGAAATTGTTGTGTGGGAATACTAAGTCCAACTCCTCCTAAGTCAAGTTTACAAGCTCAAGCTACTTGGCTAGTTTCCACATGCCGCCTTCTCCTCCTCCTTTTTAGCTTTTGTCTCGGGCGCCAAAGTCTTGGTCTTCGGACGACTTAGTCAAGAGGTTCTCATTTTAGTGCATTGGATCAATACATTCTCCAAAGTAGCATTATTCTTATACCTCTGCATCCTCTTCCTTTACATTTACCCTCCTCCTTGTTTTGCTCCAAACACCATCTCCCTTCGGATGGATCTTACCATGTCGTGTTCCTCTCTCTCCTTATTCTTCCTCCTCTCCCTCCATATTAACTTCCCCATGCCAACTTCCGGCTACTTCCAGCCGTTCCTGGATTGCGCTCCTTCTAATTGCGGAGATGAAGAAATCAGCTATCCTTTTAGGCATGTTACGCAACCAAGTTACTGTGGGTATCCAGGCTACGAGCTCGGCTGTTACAGAGATAACTTTACCCTGTCCATGGGGTCCCTGGAATATCAGGTGATCCACATATATTGGAGTGAGCAGATACTTGAGGTGGCAAGGTCGGATTTATCGAAAGATATATGTCTTCAAAGATATGTTGACACCACTTTAAACTTCAGTCTCTTCAACTACGCTGTCACTGACCTCAATTATACCTTATTCTACAATTGCAACTCATCGTCAACCCTTCGACCTTATCGATTCTCTTGTCCCGCATCTGGAGATGGCTACTTCGCTCCCAATGTGGACCATGCAAATCCACTACACGAGCTATGCAACTTCAGTGTCCTTGTCCCAATTTCATCTATTGAAGTTCTAGGTCTACCACCACCATCGAAGGGCAACAATGATAGTGCTACTATTAGTAAGGTCCTGAATGAAGGCTTTGAGATCACCTGGATTGCCACCACATCGCAGTGCGAAAATTGCACCATATCAGGGGGAAGATGCGGGTATGGCTGGACAAGGCAAGAATTCAATTGTTTTTGCCATGATGGAGCCTATTCAATAGCCTGCCCCAGATCGCTAGTACCGGCAAGCGTCCCTTCGATACCGCTAGTACCGGGAATCGTCCCTTCAAGTATGTATGCTTACTCTCATCCAATATGTGGTTTTCAATTTGCTAAAGTTTTTCAAAGAGAAGGATTGCTGGGCATACCCTTTCCTTTGCTTGTTAATTCGAAAACAACTCGCTCATGCCCCTAAAGCCTCAAGAGACTCATTTTGCTGTGCATACCCTTCCCTCAAACGAAGTGCAGAATCCTTCCTTGCCTTAATCGTTTGATCATAAGGTTGGTATCTGCGACCCCCAAGATCCCACGGTTTAAATACATCGAGTGAAAATGCTCCGAATTCACCGTAAACTTTCACATCAGGGAAGAGTAATTCAAATGGGAGTAGTGCATTAGCCGATAAGTCAGTTAACCTAAAAGTTAGGTTGGACTTGTTCTTTAATTACTTCTCAGAACATGAACTCTTGACCCCTCAAATGGGCTAGACTTTTTCACAAGTGGGAACCTAGAAAAGAAGTTTCACTCTTCAAATTCAACTACATGGGAAGAAATCCGGAGGAAATTGCTTTGCATGTTTCCTGGCCACTCCTTCCTCATCACTTCCTCATCACCTTCACGAAATGTCAGAAGACTGAAACTGGTCTCGGTCAAAGTCAGCGGTCAGAATAGTTTTTTTTATATTATACTTAGAAGAATTAGCCACATCCATCTCTTTCACACTTCAGTCTTCGGAGAAGGTGAATAAGAAAAGAATTTCTCCATCCTCAGCATGCCTCTCTGAACTCTAAACCCTCGTTCCACATCATATTCTCCACCCATGAGAGCGTGAACTTACTCAAATGGGTGACGCAGCCCCTCTCCTTCTCTCCTCCCCTTCACACTCCATCCTCGTCTTCGTCCTCGTCGTCCTCCTAGTCCCACGAGCTCTTTTATGCGAGGGAGACGACTATGTCCACTATACCGAATGCTGCCGCTCTTTTAGTTGCGGAACCGTCCAAAATTTAACTTATCCTTTCTGGGGAGGTGGCCGACCCCAATTCTGTGGACTTGAAGGATTCAAGGTCGAGTGCTATGAGGAGCAGCACCCTATTCTTGAGTACCAAGCGCAAAAGTACCGAGTCCTCAAGATTGATCAACATCTTCGTACGATGACGATCGCGAGGATGGATCTGATGGACGGTACGTGCTTGCGCGTGTTTTGGAATACTAGCACGATGGAGTCCACTCTCTTTAATATGACCCCAGCCGTTGGGAGCCTCAGCATCTTCTACGGATGTTTGGGCACGTTGAAGAACATAAGCAACGAGTTCGAGTGCTTCTACAATGTCTCCAGGAAGTCAGCTTTCTATATGGAAGATGTCTTCTTGAACAGAAAGCTCCCGTTTGACGTAACCTGCTGCCTCACGAGCATCAAGGTTCCCGTTCTTCATAACACGCTCGATGATCTCGGAAGAGGCAATATCAGCTTGCTGGAAGCTCTGAATCGAGGGTTCGATGTTCAGTATAGTGACCAACCTGAGTGCTCGGCATGTACTTCTTCTGGCGGGTTTTGCGGTAGCAACTCCTCTTCTCCATCATCTAGTTTCACGTGTTATTGCCGCGACAAACCCTACGCTCGTACCTGCAATCACCCTGGTACGTTCTTTAGGTAGCATTCCCAGGTGATCATTCTCAACTTCATTTGGTGGGTTCTTGTTTATATCGGCGCGTGAGATTCTGTTTTCGACGGCGTAGAATATGCACGAAAATCACTAAACCTTGAGCTGCTGCGGAGTTAGTTTCACTTAGTACCTCGAAAGATCATACGGCCAATGGACCCCAAGAATTTGTTGAGAGAAAACTCGATTTGATCGAGTGTGATCCGCTTGTTTCTTTAGTTGGAAATTCGATGGCTCCATACTTTGTTTTGTCCTCCTCCATCTAAGAACATCAAGCGACAAGAATTAAGACTTTTATTTCATCATTCTTTGTGGTGGCGCGAAGCAAGACGAAATTTCAACTTAGCCACTGCTTGGCCAGCAATTCTTCATGTGAGAGAGAGTCGTTTTCGCTGACTAGTCACGAAGATCATGTTGAAATGTCAATGGTCAACGGAGAAGGAGCTCCTGAGAAGCGCCATCTAGATTGGACTTCATTTTAGCCCCAGCATACCTTTCGATTTAGGCCCATAAAAATTCCCAAAACTATGGGTCCACCGATGTGGATTTGAGCCCATAATTTTAGACTATAGGGTCCGTGAAGTCAATATCTGTTAAATTTGCAACATATTATATATATATATATATATATATATATATATATATATATATATACACACATATATATAATAAATGTAAGACTCCGTCGGGTCATAAACTTCGCTCAGGGGAGTGGGAACTCGGACGTGGGATAAGAATCGAGTGACATGTGACTAAGTTTTGTCCGCGCCAAAGTTTGGTATTGGAAAAGGAAAAAGAAATGGGACAACCAATGATTAATTAGCGTTGCTTAGTAGGATTTGTTCATGATGATTAGGTATATCCTCAAAGTCAAACATTTCAAAAAAAAACGTTGGTGGGTCCTCCAAACCTGATTGTAATTTAGAAGTCCCTTTTGACTAGGAAGTTTCTTGGTTTGTTCTTCCAAGGTTTTCCGGGCCAAATTTCCCGTGTGCGTTGGTGCATCTACATGGGGGCGTTTGACTAATGCACGCGCCGCTTGGTGTCTGGTTCAAAGTTGCTGAACCAGCACCAGAAGACAGCGATGGGAGGTTTACGACCAATTCAAACCAACCCCGGTTGATTTTTTCTGCAAATGCTTTCCACACCCACTCTCCTGCCTTTTTCTTCTATGCTCTGCAATCCTCTGCCTCCTCCTTCCAGTCCCAAATGAGTCTCCAAAGCTTCATGTGCGGAGCTCATTGTCGCCAGTCGGTCCTTGTCTTCGTCTTCGCCAACTTGGTCTATCGGGCTCTGTCGGATGGTGCGCAATACGAGGACTGCGCACCTCGGAACTGCGGATATGGCCCGAACATCAGCTACCCTTTCTGGATTTCTGGCGTGCAGGAGTCCTATTGTGGCTATCCGAATTTCGAGATTTCCTGCATAGAGATGTACCCTTTCCTGAATTTCTCGGACAGTGAGTTCATCATCAAGGATATCTTCTATGCGAACCATTCGTTCCTTCTGGTTAATGCCCTCCTGTACCAGGACTCCTGTGGTGCTCCGCCTCGTAATATCAGCCTCGAAAGGACGCCTTTCAATCTCGTTTCCTGTGATGTTGATTTCTTCTTCTACTATAATTGCACCTCGAAGCCGACAGGTTTTACATATCCAGTGGACTGTGCTAACGACTACACCGACAATTCTTTTGCTCTCTTCCCCGATAAAGCATTCCAAGAAATGGATTTGTATTCTGCCATCAGCTCCTGCGATTCCCCAGTTAGTGTACCTGTTGATGTTAATGCAAATCTCACCAGCTTGGTGTCTATGAATTACACTGAGATTTTGGAGATGGGGTTCCTTTTGAACTGGACTGCAATTAATTGCAGCAACTGCGAGGGAAGTGAGGGACGGTGTGGATTCGAGAACAATAATTTCGTTTGCTTTTGCCAAGATGGTGCTCATTCTCTAACCTGCAATGATGGTAAATGCATGGGCGATTCAGTTTTTTTTTTTTCTTGACCGAGTTTTCGTGTCCACTATTTTTCTTGATCTTTCGTTTCCACGTGCTGTGAATGGTGTCCTTAAGCTTTTCAATTTCTTCGCCTTAGCTTAGATTCTAGACGCACTTACTGCTGCAAATGAAACTCTCTTATCTCCAGGGTTCCAAGATACCTTATCGGAACTCATAGATTTTGACGTTCGCGAACCTGGAGGAATTGAAAGAAGAGTAATGGAAATGTTGATGTTTCTTTCTTTCTGCAATAGTTTTCCAGTTATCAATTGGGTATTAATGATTCGAGGATATCGAAAGTTCTTTCTTGAACATGAGCTGCCCACTTCTTTTATCAGCGGGACGACTTCTAATCAAGGCTATAGTAGGTCTGCTTAGAAGCCAAAAGTTTTGAGACATGTCTAGAAACATACTACCCATTCAATTAGTCGCACAGAAAGTTTTATCTCAGCGTCTGATACTACATTGTTGATCATATTGCAGAGTGTTTGCTAATTTATACCAGCTAGAATTTTTTTTTTCCCTGTCTTCCTGTTCATCCCCTGATAACTCTAAAATTCGGATTTTAGCTTATGTCTATACTCGTTAGTCAATCAGCCACATATCCATTTGCATGTGTTTTCAATTTCTTCTGGTAACATGTCACTAATTGATCGGTGAAGAGTTCTTCAAGAGGAGGCTCGAGCCAAACTGGTGAATTTGTAATCTTTTCACTCGATCGTGGTGTTTTTTTCTTTCTTGAAACTGAATGAGCTATAACCTCATGATGTGCTCTGATCTTTATATCTCTTAAGACGCTTTGAAATGATCTGTTTGCAATTTGTTGACACATTTTTCACTTTTGATGACTACCGTCTCAGGAAAGAACCATATTGGTCGTAAACTTGGAATAGGTAATTATTTCAAGACTCTCTTCCACTTCTCTGCACTCTCCCCTACAATTTGTTCCGACTTTTTGACAGTATGCTTCCCTCTTTGCTCATTGGAATCTAATAATATGCTCTCCCTCTCTCTCCCCTAAAAATCAGGTTTTGGTAGTGCAGCAGGTGGAATGGCACTGGTAATTATTATACTCTTCATCTATCGATCTCGCCAAAGAAAAAAATATGACCAGTCATCCTATGTCTCGAGAAGCATGTCCTCTATTTACTCCTCCAGGACAGATTTCGAGAAGGGCAGTCTCTACTATGGACTGCCCATCTTTGACTACGACGAACTGAAAAAAGCTACCAACAATTTCGATCCAGCAGAGGAACTTGGTGATGGAGGCTTTGGCACTGTTTTCAAAGGTAAGAGCAACACTGCAATTGTCCATAATTAGTGAACCCGTGATCAAAGATTTTTGCCATAACCTTAACGAGTTTTGCAGGCAAACTCCGAGATGGGCGTGTCGTTGCAGTTAAGAGATTATATGAAAGCAACTACAAAAGAGTCGAGCAGTTCATGAATGAAGTTGAAATACTAACCCGCTTGCGCCACCCGAATCTAGTCTCACTGTATGGCTGCACCTCCCGGCAGAGCCATAGACTCCTGCTCGTGTATGAATACGTGCCAAACGGCACAGTGGCTGATCATATTCACGGCGATCTAGCTAAACCCGGCTCGCCCCCGTGGCCCACCCGTTTGAACATAGCCATAGAAACCGCAGACGCATTGGTGTATCTCCACGCATCTGTTGTTATCCATCGAGATGTGAAGACCAACAACATCCTGCTGGACGAGAACTTCAGTGTCAAGGTTGCGGATTTCGGTTTGTCGCGCCTCTTCCCACTTGATGTCACCCATGTTTCAACTGCTCCTCAAGGGACACCGGGTTATGTCGATCCAGAATACCACCAATGCTACCAGTTGACTGAGAAGAGCGACGTGTATAGCTTCGGAGTAGTCTTAATGGAGCTCATATCTTCCTTGCCAGCAGTTGATATCACTAGGCATCGCCACGAGATAAATCTGTCAGCCCTGGCCATAAGCAAGATCCAAAGCCATGCCTTGCACGAGCTTGTAGATCGAAATCTCGGGTACGATACAGACTATAGGACTAGAAAAATGATTACTGCGGTGGCAGAGTTGGGCTTCCAATGCTTGCAAGAAGGCCATGACATGAGACCATCCATGAAAGAGGTATTGGAAACACTGAAGGACATACAAAACTGCGGCTGTGACATGGAGAAGTCGGACGAAATGGATAATCCATCGGATGATGCTGTTCTGCTGAAGAACAATCCGCTAACACTTTCGCCGGTTTCGGTCACGGCGAAATGGACTAGCAACGATACGACGCCCAATGCCAGTGGTTAGGTGCCATTACAGGAGACAGATTCTTCTGAAGATAGCTGATATGTACAGTAGTGAGGTAATGTGTATGAGTGAGGTAAAGAGAATAACCACATTATGATATGTTTCCTTTCTTTGTTTGTCGTCACTTTCTTCCATACTGGGCATCTTCGCTGAGATGTGAATATTCTGTGGATGAGAGAAAGTAGTTGGCACAATTTCTTCTTTGTTCTCTCTTCTGACTTGAGTATGAGGGCTTGGCCTTTCTATTTTTGGGTAGGTTCAAGACCATGAAACGATTCGACGTCGACTTCTGTAGCGTGCCCCGAATGTCTTGTCTGTGCCATCCAACCGCGTTGCCTGATAAGTTTTGGTTGGATTCATGCCTAAAACGATTCGAGAATCGAGAGCAATCTAATAGGACAGCCATGGCTTCTGTTCTTCCTAGTTTTTGCTCGCGACAGTAATAATATGCACCCGGCAAGCGGCGTTAGCCAGCGCGGTTCGATTGTCATGTTTCGATCAACCGGGAAATTTGTCATACCAGAACAAAGGATGCCTCAGATAGATAGTAATACCATGACCTCTCGCTGAAGTAAAACACCTTCTATCTCATTTCCAAAGCTGTCTCGCTCGGAAATAGACCTACTTCAAGAAGCTACTTGGAAGAAGCAACTGAGAAAAACAATGTGGATGCCCGAGTTTCGCCGACGATTCTAATATGCGTGACTTAAAGAGATTACGAGAATTTCGCTCGACCGGCGGCCGGTCAACGCCGAGAGATCGAGTTGACTTTTACGGTAAAGCCCGTTTAGGCTTTTTCGGCCCAACTCTGGCCCACTAAACTGAATTTTTCGGCCCGTCAAATTCTTCGAAGATCGAGGCGAGCCCGGGCCCGGAGGACCCGGCCAGCAAAATCGGCTCGCTCCTCGCCTCACTAAGGATACCTCATCATCATCGTTCAAGAGGCCTCTGGATCAATCTAGCATCATCCCAACCTCTGCATACATGAAGAAAATATTGGGGTGATTCTAGCGCTCCACGTCGGCCACGCGTCTCTCCACTCATTAATCGTCACGTGTTTAGTTGGGGGGCGGGCACGCGTCTCTCATTAATTGCCACGTGTTTAGGTGGGAGGCGGGCACGCGTCTCTCCACTCATTAATTGGCACGTGTCTAGGTGGTGGGGGGATTTCAAAAACTCCTTTCTCAGACACCTGCTCATCTTCCACAAACGCTCCTCGGCTTCATCTTCATCGCCTCGACAAAACCGCCGTAGCCATTCCAACGACCGAGCTTCAGAGCTTCAAAGTATCGTTGTTTTGAGCTTAATAAGAAGCTTGTAAACGAGCTTTGCGTGATTCAAGGTTTCCGGAAATGCGACAGCGAAGAAGCGACTCTGTTTTTGTCAAACCAAACAGAGAACCACATGTAATGATCAGGAAGAGAACCAACGACCGGAGCACCAACCGCCACCGACGGTCAAGCCTACGGCGAAACTGGACGGATCGCCGCGTATTGAAGCAGATCCAGGCTTCCCTCGTCGTCAGAGGCTTCAGTTCAGACCGCGCAGCTCCTCGAGAGCCCATCTTTGCCAGCGCGATCGCCATCTCGGGAACAATTGGCTATGCTCTCCGACCGTTCGCTCAAATTGCTGAACCGGATCTTCTCGTGCGGAACACTCCTGATGACTTTGATTTTTTTCGATACCGTCCAACAATGGCCAGGGTCATGTACTGTGATACGAAATGAAAGTAGAGGGCGAAACTGTGTAGGAACTTCAAGCAACTGCAGGAGTTCAAGCAGCCGTTTCTGAGGGACCGCCCGTTCCCGCTTGGCAAGTCACTAAACCCGCTCCCTCGAATCCCGACCTCGAGGGAGAATCGCGACAAACAGAGCGCGGAAACACAACCAAGTCATTTGGCCCAATTGAATATCTGCGCTAAAGACTTAATGATGTCAAGATAGAAGAAAGAAATTGAAGTAGGAAAGGCATTAACGGTACAATACCGCAGTATCGTTGTTCCCTAATTCGGTTGTCGTGTAGGAATACTGCAGGAGCATAGGGATTGATTCCTGTAATCAGGATTTCTCTTGTTACAGAAGCCTACTGTTGGAATTCATGGCAGTTACGATGTCATAGCTCGACTCGTCCGCTGTAATGGCTGAACCTTAGAGGTCTAGAGTCATTCAACAAGAATGTTATTTTCTGGCAAACAGGTACTTAATGTGGTCCAAGGATATATGTCGCGATGAAGATGAAGAATTGCCAAGATCTCAAGTAACGACACCGAGGGCTCCGAATGAACGAGGTACGAACAGCAGACCGAAGACGCCATTTGAGAACCACGGTAACGAAAAGACAGCGAATCTATTCGAGATCACATGGATATAGCATTAGCAATGAAGATACATCTGTTGCTGATCAGCTTCAGGGTAAAAGAGAATGTAAACCAGCTGCTTGAAATTAACAATCACTCTATTTGACATTGACTTATTCAAAGCTGGAGCAAATTGAGTTTCCCTAACTTCTAGCAAAAGCAGTATCCTATGCCTAAAATTGACAAAACAAAAAGGGGGGAAAGACATTCCTGTATGCCATTGCTCTAGCTGCAACTGCTTGCCTCACATGGCGTTTCCCCCCCATTACACGATTTGACTATATACACCAGACTTCAGTGCATCAATCGAACCCTAATTCACCTCCCATCCATGAAAGACCTTGGGGGTGCAAGACTGTTACCATCAGATGAGGACGATGTCTCTGGGATGCTGTACCTGATAGCATGCTCAAATGGGGCGGCCACAAATGGTGAGGTTATCTGCCAATCATTACCAGCCCCAATCTGTGCATGATTGTTCGGCAGGTACTCCTCGAAAGCTTTATCTGTCAGGAGATAGTGTGTGGGGTACTGATCTTCCACCTCACCTGAATTAAAGACAACGTATTTCAAACTGGGTATTAAAAAATATGATATAAATATATATATGGATTACATAGACAAATTAGATATTATGTGGTACCTAGTGTTAGTTGAGCTGCTTCAGGGTAGTAAGGAACCTCAGTCTCTTCCAATGCGGTCCAATTAAAGTAAGCTTGTCTGACCAAACTCTCAATATAGGGCTGCAAGTGCCATATTATAAAACTCATAAATTAGACAACATGGCTCTACAAAACTTGGGCTAGAGCATGAAACAATCTGAGAAGATTCAATGCATACCCTGATAATGTTATTTGAGAGGTCCTTGTGGGTGTAGACCTGCCCACTAACCTCTGCCCTTTCCACTTGACAGATTGGATTCAGGGTGATGCTGAAGTTGGTCCCTTGGTAAATGTAGTGCTTGTTGCCCTTCTCACAGGTCCTTGCATGCTTTATGGTTGCATCCCAGATCTTCTCAGACATCCCAGGTCCCAATATCTGTTTTTTTTTTTAAATAAAAAGTTATTAATCTCCAATTAAAGAAGCAAAATTTGAAGGGGAAAATTAAGAGAAATTATAAGAAGACAAAAGGAATAGTGTAAGTACCCTTCTAAGCTTCATTGGGTCCACAACAGACAGCTTCAAGAAATCTTGGACTGTGTTAATCCCTTCTTCACCAAGCTTCTTGTGAAACGCTCCCTCTTTCCCAATTTTCTCTAGACGCCACACTTCATCTCCCAATTGCGGTGGATAATGCTTCTTGTACACTTAAAGAACCAAAATAAAAAAAGATAATTTTAGATAATGAAATATATAGCAAAGAAAAAGAGAGAAAAAGAAAATATGGTTTTACTCCTTACTAACTTAATTTTAGTTAACTCAATTTCCGATCAATTAAAGCATCCGGCTAATCCCGCCGATTTGTCTATCTCAATAGTTTCCTCTACTGACTAATCTTGTTTTTGCAAGTGGAAGAGAACCAACCCTCTCCTCATAATACAAAAACTCACCTAATAAAAGAAGCCATCTTCTGATTTTTCTGTCCCCTTTCGCACTCATTTCCATTAAATTACGCAATAATCGACTTGACTTGACTCGATTTAAAATTTCTTTGTTTAACTAGAGGGAGGACGCGGACGAGTACAGAGATACACGCGCATATGCAGTACCAAAGTATCTTCTAACCTATTAATTGATGTTAAAGCTTTGCTTCGACAACACTCTTCTTGTCTTTAAATAAAAGAAAATAGCTTAATTTAATAGTCTAATGCCCATAAAAAAAAATTGCATAATTTAATGGTCAAACAACGCGTTGCCCACCAGGCCCTACTACAGCCGGCGAGAAGACGAAGGCTAAGTGATGGTTGAATCATAGAAAAGGACGAATTAGGAAGATTTGTCCCTAAGTTTCGTAGCTGACTTATTTTCTTTTTTAATTTTTTTATTATGGGGTTTGGGATTCTTTTTTTTCTTTTTTTTTTTGTGGCTAAAGTTTTGGAATTTGGGATTTGATTAGACGACGAAAGGGCACTAATCTTGGAAAAAGTGAAAGTGGGTGGTGCTATCCACGGGTGATATCATGACGCAACCTTCATGATTGGATAATTCCAAAGGAAAAGAAAAAGGAAGAAAAATCAAACTTCGATTCAAGAGGGTAATTATGTTTTTCTTTTTAATAAAAGATACTATAATAATTAGGAATTATGAAAAGCTTCAGGTACTTTTAATCCTAATATTTGTTTCTAGATAATAATCTAAACGTTTTTTTACTGATTATAATTTAATACTCAGCACCTATTCAAAACCACCCAAAACTACCAAGATTTAGGAAGATGAGCATCTTTTTAAGTACATATACTTTAGTTTGATTTGATTAACTACCGTCATAGAATGCACTATTATATCTAGAATATTTCACATCATATCATCATCTCAGTAAGCGAAAAGACGCTTCATCGTGCTCTCGCTAAATCAAGCTTTTCACTTAATATCCTGATGATCTAATTCGTATCGTGATCCATAATAAATCAAAGAAAAGGGAAAGAAACTACACAGATTTATAATGTTAGAATTTGACCACCATCTCCATATGGAATGGGGGATACAAAGGCAAACCCTAATTTCATCTGCCCATTTGAGCGATGAACTTGGGGCACAGATCAATGGACTGGTAGCTTCATCTCTTCTTATTTATGGTGACATTTCATGGTAGCTGGACAAGGACATGGCAAAGAATTGATGGAGCCCGCATGATGCAAGACCCAGGTTCTCCTAGTTGTTGATGTGAGTTATATGATCGGACCATCTATCCTAATTTGACCCTTCTAGAACAAGATGACAAATTTACGTTCAGTATGCCACCGGCGCGGGTACTTTTGACTGAAGACCGAGATTTGATCTCTTTTGTTTACTAATCTATGATTGAAGTGATATGTATTGTGTAATAGATATCAACCTTAACAAGTACCAACCTCAATTATAGCTATGATATACACTATATAGTGGGAACAAGATTGAATATGAACTTGAGCAACACGTAATGATAATTACGGTTTGGTATATATAATCCAATAATGATCAATGGACTTCAAGACCCCAAGATGCTGATAAAGAAAGACCATGCAAGCCAAAACTTTATTATGATATATTATGCGTGTGAATTAGTGTTAAGATGTGTTTGTGTATGTGGTTGCGGTTGTGAGTATCAATAGAGGCATTTCATGTGCAAAAAGTTGATCATTTCATGTGGTATGTGGGAAGTTTCTTTTTTATCTGAATACCCTATGAAATGAAAATGAATGAATGAATAATGTTGTGCGTATTAATAGGACTGATTATGTGATTATTTGTCTATACATAACTAAGAATGGACATTAGTGCAAGTACTTGAAAAATAATCAAACAACTTACATTCTCCTCGGTGATCTTTGACGATGAATGCCTCGGTCATGGCCTCGCGTATCCTAATGCCTTGGTAGCTCCCCGTAGAAACCCTAGCGCCGAGCTTGAACCTCCTGCTCCTAATCCAGCTCGAATTATCGGTCAGCTCGATTTCCCCAATGGCAGCCACCCCATTGTTCCTCATGGTCACGCTCAGCTCTCCGGCGAGCAAAGGCCTCTTCCCTTGCCTCTCCCTAACGATGTTCCGATCAAATTCATCGCTCGTCCAATTAGTGCGGTCTCCTGGCGGAAAATCGCCGTCGAGGACCACGATCTCGACTTTGATCGGGCTAGGAAGAGTGGGAGGGACAGCTTGCTCGCCTCTCGTGTCAACGATTATGATCTGGAGCTGAGAACCTTCCACATCTACTATTTTGCTTCCGGTGAAAATGGGCAGCGTGAGACTTTTGCTGAACCTCAACTCGAGGCTCGAGGGTTCTAGTGCTTGGATTCGGAGCGAGGGAACTCGTGTAAGCGTGCGTGTGCGTCGGGCAAGGCTGCGCTCCACCTCTTCATTCACCTGAGGAAATAATAGAAAAACAATTAGACCTAAACAAATTCAAGGGTTTTTTGCTTGTGATCATAAAATGTTATGGTCTAGGGTTTTCGGTGTATATGTTTCAAGTGGCAAAGTGATTCATTATGAGCTCATAGACTCATAGTGCACGTTAAGTGATTGTGATGCATGAGATAATTCATTAGGGTTTACCCACTTGTACATGAAAATTATATCATTCAATCCATTTCCTTTTCTTCTCTCGCTAATTTCTTTCTAAAGTAAACAAAGATAAACAATGAAAAGAATACAGATGATATCTTGATGATGGATGTTAATTAAAAAAGAAGAAGATTAGTTTGAAGAACATATCAACAAGTGAAAATTATAATAAAACCATACCACTCTACGAAGCATCGGCTCCAAACCCGAGCAGAGGTGCTTCAAGGAGTTCACCATCACCACTTCTCCTATCACACTGGGTCAAGAAATGAAGAAATTTCTTATGTGGAGAAAGTCAAAGATAGGTTCGCGTGAAGATAAGAAAGAAAACAGATCCATCTCAATTTCAGAAAATGAAGGGCGAAAAACGAACAGAAAAGTAGGAAACCGAAACATACGAAGCGAAAGAAGGTCGAGCTCGCATCCGTTTTTCAGATGGCAGGTCGGCGTCGGAACCGGTTTCGCCGAAGAACCTTTTCGCAGCCATTGATGAAGTCCCAAGAAAGCTATCAAATTGAGGGAGAGAGAGTTGTGGTGAAGGAAGAGGAGTGAGAGAGGAAAGAGCAAGAGAGAGCTAGGAAGGGAGAGAAGGGTATTTATGCGAAGGAGATTGAAGAGGGACAGAGAAACGAAGGAGATGATAAGGCTTGAGTAGAATATGCATTAAAGAAAGACGAAAATTAAACTATTTGGAGTTGCTTGAAGCTTCGACGAACGGTGGAAGAAACAGCTGGGTAACGGGGGGGCTTCGTGGTGACCGATGCTTGCATGATGTAACGACTTTGACGTCAACTCCCCCCCAAAAGTCAACTCTCTCTCTCTCTCTCTCTCTCTCTCTCTCTCTCTCTCTCTCTCTCTCTCTCTCTCTCTCTCTCTCTCTCTCTCTTTGTTGCAAAAGCCATGCAAATTTTGTATCAACACCTTTTTGGGATGCGAAATATTCATAGATTAAGATCCTCTAAAATTAGATAAAATTACCCTCAAAGATCTGAACATATAAGTAGCAAGCAAATCGGACGGTACTGATTGGTTATAATTTTTTTATTTTTCCTTCTTCTCCCGCTTTGTTATTTCACATTTTGCATCTAATCCATCTGCGGGAAAAGGAAACTACAAGTGACGTAAATTTTTTTCTCAAGTGCCACATTGATTAACTCGGATGCCGTCGGCGATGGGACATTAATTTGTTATACCTCGACCCGACATGACTAGCGGAAATTCAATCGGTGAAAAAATAGAAACTACATCGTTGGCCCTTTGTTCTTGCTCCAAATTGACAAGTTGGGGCTAAGTTAGGGCCAACAAGCAAACCCTAACCTCGTCCTTCAAAATTACTAACAAAAATGTAGGTGATTACCTGCAGAAGAGGGAGCTAGAGCCTCGGAAGAAGCTGAGTCGAGGTCATTGAAGTCCATTTTCGAGTTCTAATTAAGGCTAGAGGCTAATTAAGGCTAGAGGCATGGAAGAAGCTACAACTAGCAAGAAATTGAGGCTCCAAAAGAGAGAAACCGGAGTCGAGGTGGCCACTTGGTTCCACAACAAAAGAGCTCAATGGAAGCCAAATAAGGCTTCTTCCAAGAAGGGGAACTCTAGAAGACTGTGAAGAGAGACGTGCCGTGACAATTGAGAGAGGCAACAAACAGTGTCGCATTGGGATCGAGAGTGTCGAGAGGAAGGTAATACATCCATGCACAGTTGTCGCAAATGTCCGGCGAGATCGGGCTGTCCATGATTCAAAGCAAGCCGAGAGTTACTCCTCCTCCTCCTCCTCCCTCCTCCTCCTCTTGGTGATGGAATCGGAGAAAGAGATATAGTGTGTATCGGAAGAGAGCCAGAGCAGCTAATCTATTGATAGATATGTTTTTTTTATAAGAAAACGTCACTTCAAACTAAAATCTTTTTAAAAAAAGTCACGTAAGACAAACTACTAAAATACGTTGTCGAAGGCACTTGAGTAAACCGATGTGGCATTCAAGTGATTGAAAAAAAAATTATGATATTCAAGTGAGTGTTGTATGAAATTTATAACACTTACAATGTCCTTATACTCACTATATATGCAAAGTCACTCGCTAATTATGCACAATCGCAAGGCAACCGTGACCACTAGTCACGACCAAACATCGTGGCTAGTGGTCCATATTAGAGAGTCCATATTGAAGGGTAACTCTGCCTAACATTAGATAAATTCTAAGTTTAAATTGGTCCATATTAGAGAGTCCGATATATGGTGTTGTCCATATGCAACGGAGAAAGATTGTTGACCTCAAAATTACTATAGACTGTTTACTTCGCCACTTTATAGTTTACTCTTTGAATGAACTTGTTGTAATTCTCAAAGTACTCGAAGATAGAAACCTAATACATGGGTGGGCAGAGAGATTACAATTCGACGACGATAAAAACAAGACAAGACTGAATGTAAGATCGTGACAAATTGATTGTTTGATTGAAAGAATATAGGATACAGGGTGTTTGCAATTGGGTTTAACTTAGTTTGACTTTCGAATAAGATCAAACTCTATATTATTGGAAACAAGTTTCAAACAAGAATTGAATTGATGCAAGCCAAACACAAAATTACATCTTCTCTCAAGTTAATTATTTCAAGTACTTCAACGATCCGATTTAATAATGTTCGAGCGTTTTATAGTCCAATTTGCGATAATTGAACTTAACTTATCCTTAATTTAAGATTGGGGTTAATATTACCAAAAATCCCAAACCAGTACACCCGTGTCACATTTACTTCAAGCGACAATAAATCCAAACTGATGAACTTGAGACAAACATACTAAACTCTTTGGGAAAAATTAGAGCTTTTAGCATATCTTCGAAACATGAATGAGCTCTTAGGGAAAAATTAGAAGATTTTCCAATCTCTATTCATTGTCAGATCTGGCTTCATCAAAATGATGTCGTTTATTTGTTCCTTATGTTGAATTTTCACATTAGATCCACATCACATGCCGATCATCCAATTTGTTTGGCACTTGTGTTTCCACGTTAGCAATTTGACAGTGATATTGGACAAAAACTCATAGATGGTCATAAATGTACCCGTTTGGGGTTTTTTATGACACGAAAATTAATTTGTGGTAAATGTGACATGATTGTACTAGTTTGAGATTTTTTAGTGGTATTAATCGTTATGATCATTCTGGCCTTTATTTTTAAATCATGTAACGTGAGTTAACCTAGATTATCTTGCAACTTATCAAAACCAAAATAGCCATATGAACGTGCATTGTCGTCTTAAAATGTACAAACAATTTAATAAAAGAGTTTTCAGCTAATTTCAATTCGGTTTCATCTAATGTCAATCTCACGTACTTAACCATGTCAATAAACTGAAAAAATAACTTTGTTCTCTTTAGCTTTCCATTTCCGATTCTTTTTTCCTAATTGTGGCCTAGCTTGTGTGTGTGGCAATGAAAATTATGATTGATCAAATCAAATTAAATCTATCATGGTCAGACCATGGCTCAAGTGAAGAACGATTATGGAATAATATTTAACAATAAAACGAACCATGCAAGAGATCATGACTCGTCACCATTCGTGTAGATGGGAGCATATATTGTAATCACAATTTAAAAATATTAATTATAGTTGCTCACTTCGTGTGATCTGTCAAGAGGTCCATTTCCAAGAAATATCTCATTCCTTTTTCGGCTTTACTTTGTGGTGGGTACGGTCTATGCAATGACTTGTCAACAAGTATTACCACTTAGCCCTGGCCTTAGAATTATTAAATTACTTGCTCAAAAAAGAATTATTAAATTATGAAAAACAATAAAAAAAGAAAGAAGAAAAAGAAGGATGATAACTGCCCTGAGAAAAGATACCTAGGGTAGGGGAGAGGTTATGGTTAATCTAACACGATATCATAATATACAATTGTGAGTTCCAATCCTTTTATTTTTTTTGGCATTGATACGATATTTGAACGGCTATTACCAATAAAAAAAGTAAAACTTATCTTGAGCGTAATAGTAGAAAATAAGTATATCTACAAGATTTATCGGAACGAGCTTGTTAATAGTTATAGGCAACCCTACATCTTAATCTCATTTGAGTGAGCTTGGATAAGGCATCTCAACCCGATTCATCGAGAGCTCTGGCCGAGTGCGACGGGGCTAAGGCAAGTCGTACCCTTTTTCAAACAGGTCATCCTCAACTAGTTTGATTGGAGTTTTCCAACCTATCTTCTATGTGTACACGAGACTTATTAAGGTTCCATTTGTTTTATGAAAAATATTTTTTGGGAAAATATTTTACTCATTTTATGGCGTTTGGATCGCTTAGAAAAATGAGTCGACGAAAATGGTTTTACTACCAACTCTGTACTTGAGCACGAGAATCCTAACACTTGTTCTCGAGCCCTTGGCAGTGGGGGCAGGTCCTCGACGCCTAGGCCTAGTCCATCAAGGCCGAGCCGGGGGCCATGTAGGTCAGCTTGAGACCCTAGCCACCACGCTTAGGTCCACCGAGGCCAGGCTTGAGACGCTAGGCCTGATAATATCGACGCCGAGCCTAGGTCCTAGACGCCCATGCTCGAGTCCATTACGTTTGATTTGATTTTTTCTTTTCTTTCTTTCTTTTTTGTCTTCCTTCGTCGGTCGCTGGGCCTCAGCAACCAACCATAGGTGCAAGCCGGCGTGCTCAAGCTTGCCCAAGGCCGTCAAGCTCGAGCTCAAGCCTCGGGCAAGGCTCCACCTCGCCAGCCTTCGGCAAGCTCGGCCCTCGCCTATGGATCGGCGAAGGAAGAAGGAAAACGAAAAAGAAAGAAAAGAATAAAATTAAAAAATTATCCATGTCAGCGCGGCCGTGCCACGTAAGACAACTGGACACTCACATCAACAAATTCCAACCAAATGAGATTTTCGCTATCAAACGACGGAAAATATTTTCCAATTCATTTTCATGTCTCAGCCAAATATCGAAAAATATTTTTGAGAAATGTCACATTTTTCGAGTAATAGAGCCTTATTGTCAAATTTCTTTTCTTAAAGAACTCAAGAAATGAAGTTTCAAACCCTTTGATCCTTTCAAAGCTCTCTCTCCCCAATTCTCAGAAACTCGGTCGGAGTTTCGCAGCAAACGAGGTATTCACACCTTCACCTCCCTCCTCTCTCCCTCTCTTTTTCCGGCCCGTTTTAGGATCCGAACCGGACCCGCCTCCTTGTCCCGCCCGCGTGCCACGCGCAGTTTGGACCAGGCCGAAGCACGGTCGGGGGTCGTGCGGTCTTTTCTCACTTTTTTTCGCAAAAATATTATAAATTAGGAGGTCAATGAAATTTTAACGACCCCTGATTAAAAAAAGCAGAAGTCAATTTTACTGGCTCAATTCTCCAAATTCCTCGTAATTTCCCGTCATTTTCCTCGAACCCCACAAAGGAAATAGTAAGATGTCGGAACTGCCCCTCGGATCAGATGTTATCTGGTCCCTCTTACGTGTTGGATTGTCGTCCCCAAGATCTTGCTAGTTTATCTGCAGTTTACACGTGGCGCTAACTATCTCCTCTTTGTTTTTTCATTTTATTTTATATATTATTTGGTATACGAGGTTTTGATTAAGGGTGATCGGTTCCCAATTCGGTCCAGTTCCAAGGTGAAACCGGGTACCGAGGATCGGACCGGACCTCGGTCACTTAGGGTTTAG